CCCCCGAGAGGTCTCACACAAGGATATCTTTTCTAAATTTGCCTTTATTAGTGCATTTTATTCTGACGTGACCGGGAAACCTAAAACCTGGGTAAAATATTAGTCATGTTAGGGTAGGATTGAGTCAAGTTTGCGTGGTTAGAAATACTCAGTACTCCTCTCTGTAGCCCTCAGCTTTGATGCAAGCAGTGGGAGGAGTTATGCAAATATCAAAATGCCTTCATGGGTGGTTGTCAGCCTGGAGGAGCAGGCATTCAGACTGCCCTGGGCAACCCCCACATATGTTGCGGAGCCTCCATGATTGAAAGAACTCAAATCTATTAAACGAAAGAGGCGGGCCAGAGGCAGTCAGAAAGGGCAAGATGATGCCGGACATCCTCCAGCCAGGAAATTGGGTGGGCTCTATCTGACCTTCTGCAGATTCTAATGCACATTGTAAGAAGATCACAGTGAGTTGTTTTTTTACCATTTCCTTCTGTATGCAAAACTAAAAGACAAAGTTTTTGCTCTACATACACTTTAAAGAGACATAAATTGCAGATAAAAGAGCAAAAAAATCAATCACTTTAATACCCTTTTTGCACCATTCCACAAATTATTTTGTATCCACTTGCAATGTACCCTTGGACATGCTAGAACTGTGACAGGAAAAGTCAATTCTCCAGCACAGCCCCCTCCCTCCTTACATGTCATAGCCTTCTCCTTTTCTGGTAGTGTCTTATTACTTACTGTGCTGGCCCAGCTACTCCAACCCTCCCTTCTCCTCCATTCAAAAGCTTTTATGTAGCTGCCAGGGGAGGAGTGAATGGGAATACCATAGAGCAGGGATAGACAATCCTGGCACTCCAGCTGTGATAAAACTACAAGTCCCGTGAGGCACTTCAAGACTCTGACAGCCACCGGCATGACTCCGAGAAGCAAAGGCATAATGAGATTTATAGTTTCACCACCGTTGGAGTTCTGAGGGTTCCCAACCCTCCCTGCCCTGTGTTACTTGAATGGCAGCTGTAAGTCTGCTAGGGCTGCTGACTAGGGATGAGCTCAGGTTCAGACCGAACCTGGTCCAACCTGAGCTTTTCAGACAAGGAAGTATTAGGCACTTCCGACTAATCAGCTGCAGGCCGGATATTCCCCGCTCCGCAGCTTCATGTATACAAAGGGGCGGGATGCTTGTGCTGACATCATTGACCTAATATGGTCACATGACCATGTTAGATAAATATAATTTACCAAATATTGTCATGTAGCCATATAAGGTCAATGATGTCACTGCAACTGCCCCTTGTGGGTTGGGAAGAAGCTCCTTCCTGGATTTCGGGAGCTCAGGACCTGTTTGAACCTGTGCTCATCCCTACTGCTGACATTTACCCAGCAGCAGTTTCAGGGCTTTTGGATGTCTACACAAGGGAGGCATTTACAGATGAATAACACGTATAAAAGATGTAAAATGTCCATAATATAATCTTATGGAAAGATTGTTGAAATGTATGATCTGGTGACAGGGTCTCTTTAGCACCATTTAGCTTTTAAAGAAGAACTCCAGGAATTTTTTAAGAACTTACCCTTGGATTCAAAAGAAGATATAATCACTTGTTCCTTGGTCCCTTTGGGCTGCTAGACTGGTCCCTACAGCCTCTTCTCCCTTGGGTTCCGGCAGTCTATGGACAGCTGACATCATCACATCTAATGCAGGTCCATTGACCTGCATTAGACGTGAGGACGCTGAAGGACATTTCATAGCTGCAAAGTATGGGAAGAGATGTGAGTGCTGACCGCTGAGTGACTGAGGATCAGGTAAGTAAAACAGCTTTATTTGACTCCCCTGGAGAAAACGAGCACTTAACTCTTGCAGTGTGGGGGTAGCCCTAGGGCCGGATTTCCCACAAGGCCAACCGAGGCCTGTCCTCAGGGCAGCAGGAGGGTGGAATTCCTATCTCCCGCCGCCCAGGACATGCAGTTCTGGGCGCCAGGCAGGTAATTGTTTTCTACATTTAGGCCCGCTTTGGGCAAGCAGAACTAAATGTACAGCGGGGAAGCCGCCGCTTGTTTTGTACAAGTTATATTGACGATGTTGCCGAGATCACTCGTATGCAGCCTGCATACAGGGGAGCGCATTAAGGAACCTGGCCTTGGGGCAGCAGAGAGAGTAAATCCGGCCCTGGGTAGCCCCACTGCAAGGATAAGTTTGTGATTTTCCCGGAGTTCTTCTTTAAGGATCAGACACATAAAACACACACAATGAAGGAGAACTCAACACCATGTTCCGTCACTTTGGTTTATTAATATATGTACAGACTAACGTCTGAATGATTTTGTTGCACATTAATAGCTGCATAGTCAGCCCTTGCTGGTAGAAGTACATATTCTTACTGCTTTAGGTCATGTCTACCTTCTTCAGAAGAATCGAATTGTTCGGCGAGCAGCTGCCGTCTCATTCTACAGACGAGATCTGTCCTTGGAAAAAATGTCTTTGGTACTCGCGTTGCCAAAATCTTGTGTTATTATAGGATGAAGAGACAAATCCCGCAGTGTCTGGCTGGGTGAGGTCATTACGATTATTCACCACCTGAACTTCTCGGAGGAAATGGGAGGCCTTTCCATGAGTGTGTTTGTATTGAAACGATTGCCCTATGTATATATCTGGGGGAAGGAGACGCGCGCTCGCCTGTCTGCTGATTGATCTCTATGAGCTGAGAACATATTCAAGTCATTGTGAGGGACTCTTCTGCTGAACCTACAGTACTAGTGTGGGAAATAGAAATATACGGGTTTTCTTTTGTTACCGATCTGAGCTTTAACTGATCTTTCTTAGGATTCCTTAAAGGCAACCTGTGCGAAAAAACCTAACCACAAAAATGAAAAGATTTATTAGAACTTAGGCCAGATTAGCTGTCCGATAAAACCTTTAAATTTAAAATCTCCTAGCACAGCCCAGAGCCCTCCTGAGACACCAGATGTTTACAAAAAAATATTTGCATAGACACTCCCTTCCTCCATTGGCCGGGCCTGCTGATAGGTCACTTGATTAAATGATAGGATGCGGGTAGGGGCATTTTCTTCTCCACCAAATAGACGTAAATACCTATGTTGATCATGAAAGACTGAATTAATCAACCGCACGCATCCCTTATAGCAATATTGCATACATCTTTTTTCTATTAAAATGGGACTTCCCAGGTGCCATATTAATGACACAGACACATGCACAATAACTTCATTGTGTGTATTGTATTTCATACAATCAATCATATTTATACAATCATTAAAAACAGCTCCGTATCATAAAAAGTAAACATCACATATTTCTACCAACAGGAAGAAATACCTTCAATAATCTTCCACACCATTAGGCCTCAAATTACCCCACCAGTCAGAAGAACCATAAAGTCCACTTTCCAATTGTTTAGGATTGGTAATCATTCCTTCATTGCTGAACTGTCTGATGAGGCGGAAGCAATAGTCTACGCATTTCGCATTGACAAGCCCTGCTTTTTCAGGAATTGTGGAAGGTATTCATGTATATGTGCAACCGAGGCTGACGCTGGAGAACCTCTAGATTTACCTGTGGCCATGAAAGCAAATATGGTACCTCACACCCCAGTAATCTTCCCTCATAGATATGTCTTGATCCTTTCCATAGATTGCAGTTTCTTTTTGATGGACAACATTCACCTCTGTGCTGGTTTCTTAGATATGCAATATTCATAATCTCATATTCCTTTGGGTAGAAAATATTCCCTAATTTCCCTTGGGTCTCTAATATGGATGTACTTTTCAGGATGAGCAAACCACTTGGGAGAACCAGACGGTTCTGCTGACTGGTGGGGTAGTATGAAGTCTAAAGCTGTGGAGGATTATTGAAGGAACACGGATAGATAGCATCAAATAGGTCAAATGTTGTGTCTTGTTGGTAGAAATATGTGATTTTTACTTTTTATGACATGGAAGTGTTTTTTATGATTGTATAAAATAAAAGGGAGAGGATATTATGGAGAAATCGTGTATGTGCATCATTGATATAGCCTTTGAAAAGTCCCATTTTGATATAAAAATGTATGTAACTATAAGGATGTACTCAAGCCTTTGGGAGAGTTCCAGATAGCTCTAGATCAGCGGTTCTAATCCTGTAGGTCGAATGGCCGTTGGGGGTCGAATGACGATTTGCCAGGGGTCGCCTAAAGACATCCCAACTCTCCCGGACACCCGGGAGAGAAGCACTTTCTCCCGGAAATGTTTACTCTGATCGATCAAGCAGTGTAAACCTTTCCCTGCTCTGGTTTTTTTTTTCTTTTTTTTTCTTTTTTTTTCTGACATTGGAGCCACCGGCCGCCGTCAGTCAGAAAAAAAGAAGACAAAGACCCCAGCATAGGAATACATAGCTACATTCCTAATGGCTATTTCACTTTGCAATAGCCAATAACAAACTAGCTATTGCACCCGCCCACTGCTGCTGTCAATCAGCAGTGGGGGACCTGAAGTTCTCCATCAGGTCCTCTTCTAGTGATTGACAGCAGCAGAGGGTTGGTGCAATAGCCAGCTTGCTATTGGATATTGCAAATTGAAATAGAAATAGCCGATAGGAATCTAGCTATGTATTCCTATGCTGGGGTTTTTTTCTTCATTTTTTCTGACTGACGGCAGCAGGCTCGATCGAGCAGAGGAAATCTTTCCGGGAGAAAGTGTTTCTCTCCGGGTGGCCGGGAGCCGCTATCTAATAGCTATCTAACGGTAGCAAAATTAAAGCAATGAAGGAGCAACGAAAATAATTTTACTGTTAGGGGTCGCCACAACTTGAGCAATTTTATCAAAGGGTTGCGGCACTGGAAAGGTTGAGAACCGCTGACCTAGATGAACATATATCAAAAACACAACACATCCCCTCACTGCCTATTCTCCCTTTCTGTATATCTGTATAAAGGTAAGAAAAATGGAACAGCATGGAGGCAAAGATATGAGTAATGTTAAATGTTACCTACAGGTTGATGTTACTGTCGTAACTCGAAATGCACTAGTTCTCCTGTTATATTGTGTATGTGGGTAGACTAATTTTAGGTTTTTATATTCATCTGGATTTGCTCTTTGAATATGAAATTCTCTCTGGGGTAACGGGGGGGATTAAATAATATGGGTTGTTTGAGGAGAGGTACGAAACTTTTCCTCTATGTAATGAAGTATGAAGGTGTACATCTTAGAATGTGGCCTTTCTATTCATCCAGCAGTGGAGTAGGGGAAAATATGATCTGGCCCATGACTTCTTAAATGGCACGGCCTACACCAGAGATTAATCTGTAACAATGCCGCTCTCAGGCTAGTTGTGTATTCCTGACCTTTCAGGTTCCATTACACTTGGCTTGGCAAGAAAACATGCACGCCTGTCCTTTGACGACCTTCGGCTACGCTTGGTAGGGATTGGTCACTGGTCTCACTCATGCTTCCGAGTAAATAATTCCAGTTAGATTGTTTTTCCATTTTTTTTCCCCTTTCCAATCAACGCATAAAAAAACAACAACCCTAAGGACCGCTGTCACCTTCCATTGGTTATAATGACAGAAGTCCCAATATAGTGGGGAAGTGCAGTTTCACGGTGAGTTTCGGGAGAAGACATGGACGAAGGACTTTGGTTTTTGTAAATAAACGAGTTCATTTCCTCTGAGGAATAACCATAGTTTTCTGTCCCATGTTCAGGCTCTGTGCACGACGAAGCCTGACAAGTTCCGTGTTTGGATAACACGTGGTGGTAATTAAGAGGTGCGTAGGGGACTTGGCTACGGGATTTGAAGTGCTCGTGTTCGGGGTTGTGGTGAGGATACTTTTGCGTTGTTCTGTCACCTTCCAGTTCGTGATAGCCGGTCTGATGCAGACCGACAGGCCCATATCTAGGCTCCTTCATACAGATCCTTCTCGTTTGCTCATAGACCACTGGCCTGGGGAGCAAGTGGCTCAACTGTCCTACAGTCTTTGCGTGAAGACATTCGGATTTTGGCAGCAGAGAATTGTTTAAGGAGTTTGAAAAGTGCTTTTCGCTGCCAGCCATTTTCTCCTGCTGGTACCTACTAAAGTCCAACTTGTTCTCCTCTTTCACTGTGTGATAGGTGGCAATGCCTCTGTTCTCCTGTTTGCTGGTCTTCATGGTTGTGGAGCAGTAGAGCTCATCCTTATAACGGAGGTTGGGTCTCGAAGATGAGGATGAAGAACAGCCCGTGAATCCATCGGATGAGCTTTCCCCAGAGCTGTACCGCTTGGCTGTTGCTAGGGTTCAGACAAACACATTTTGTTCATTATTTTGACTGAGCATGCTAAAAGCTGATCTCCAGGGATTATATTTTCTTTTAAACTTACATTATTCCAGCTTGGTTACATCTAATTCTTCATATGTCACATCCCGTGTGCCACTGGGGATGCAGAAGTCTGGTCTTTTCTGTGTGCTGCTTGACCAACTTGCCATCAGCATACAGAACTCAGGGCATTGCTTGCTTGGCACCTCAGCAATTCAGAGAATATCTTGTATTTTTTTCAACAAATACAAGGCGTAATCTGATTGGAAAAGTCAGAGATTGTGATGTCATCTTCCCCTCCTTTCTGCCTCATCCAATCAGAGAATTCCTTGCGTTTAATGAAAAAAATAAAAGATGTTCTGGATGGAGGAGGTGATGAGCACGAAATCCGCCCCTCCTTTCCGCCTGGTCCAATCAGAGAACGCCTTGTATTCACTAAAAAAAATAATAATAATAATACCATACAAGACATTCTCCTTTATTTAATGAAAGAAATAAAAGACGTTCTCTAAATGGTGGAGATGCTGAGCAAGTCATTCGCCACTGCTCTCCGCATTTGTCCAATCAGAGAATGCCTTGTATTAATTGAAACAAAATACAACATGTTCTCTAAATGGTGGAGGTGCCAAGCAAGTATACAGACCGCAAGTTGCTTGAACAGCATCCAGAAGAGACCAGCATTGACTGTAAGTAGCACAGACTACTACAGTGAATTTCAGCATTCCCAGCAGCCCGCTGGATGTGAGATATGAAGAATAAGATTTAACCAATCTGGACCAATGTACGTTAAAAAAAAGATACTTCCTGGAGTTCAGATTTACCTTAAAAATAAATACAATTAAAGTGTAAACTCTGACAATGAACTTCTCTTATGTTCAGCCCTTTAAAGTAGTAAAAAAAAACTCTGAAACTTTTTTCAATAATCAATCCAGGCCAAACAAACATACATGGCCCAGCAAAGTATTTCTCTATATTTTTACCCAAGCACTTCCAGTCATCATATTTGTGAACAGCCTCCCACTCAACTCGGCTTCCCTGAACTTCCTGTCCAGTACAAGATCACAAGGGACAGAGCAGTCTCCAGCAGTTGTCCATCTACTAGCTTGGAGAAGGAGAAGGGAGGAGGAAAGGAAAGGAGAAGCAGGGAGAAAGGGAAAGGAGCCTGACAAGGGAAATGAGCCACCCTAAAAAAGAATTTCAAGATCAATGCTCAGGGGTCCAGCTGATTCTGCAGGAAACTAAAACTTTTAAAAATCAAGAAGCAGCATCCATTGTAAGTGATTTCATCAGCATTTGAAATGGCTTAAAAACCTTTTGACATCATTATCCCTTTAAGTCTGTTAAATGTAGCATTGTAAGTATGTGTTATACCTGTTTAATAAGTGCAAAAAATACCTGTTGATCCAGATAGGACTCTTGTGAGCTGATAACTTCCTATGCTAGGGGGACCTTCCTACAAACCCAGACCTATACTACTGACTGGTAGGAGCTATCATTGTTCCCAGCTATCTATGTGGACTACAGCCCCCCCCCCATGTTATAAGAAGTGTTATGTAATCACGTCCTAGTGTGACAACTCAGCTACTCCACAGATACAAAGCAGTGAGCAAGTGTTGTCACCCCAAATGTGTTAGTGGCAAAATAAGTGACTAATATGACTAATATGCTGTGATATGTTACATTTTTGTTCCTGGCTTTAGATCTGCTTTAAAGAAAAAACAAAACCTTAAAACAAGGCATGCTCCCTCTCGATCTTTGGTGCCCTTAGCAGGGGCTTAGGGGACTTTTCCAGCAAATCCAGGACTAATTGGAACATTCAGAACTTGTCTGCTTGTTTAAGTTTTACATCGTAGCAGATTTCTGGGCTGTCATGATACAGCAATCTGTGAATAACCCCATCATCATACAGATCTGCTCTGCATTACATGACTCACTCCACATCAATAATTACATCATGGAGTGTTTGGTCAAGTCACAGCGCCGTGAGAGTTTGATGGATGCCCCGAGCTTTTTCATTTATAAAATTAGCTGGAGGATGCCTTTATCTGCTGTGTTTGTTTGGAGGAAGCTGAGAGGTAACACTGATCAAATATTAACCTAAGAGTCACAAAACCGCTGCCTTGCCGGGTAATGAATCGTGTCCAGGAATCTGACAGTTTCCACCACTGAAATATGACAGGGAGTAATCGCTGCAACAACAATTCTGCAAATTTGTTGATGTGGAACAATTACACGAGAGATTGACATGTAGATATTGTTTGGCGTGCAGAGTGGATAGACGACACAGAGAATGAGATAGAAGGTGTTTGCAGAGGTGGAATTCCAGTGCTTGATCTGCCCTGCACCCACTTTATAGCTGGCCATACACTGGTAGATTTTCACACGAATGGTCTCACCAAAAAATTCCCTTCAGAACTAAGGATGCAGCGATACTAAGTACCGCACTCGGTACAAGTACAAGTACAGATACCTTTCCAGCTCCAGGACTAGACTAGAGAAAAATCCAATAGTTAGGAGGCAGCTGTCATTTGTAAGGAGCACACGGAGCCGCTGGGATTTGTACATCTCTGTTATAATATATGATTTTGTTTTTATAAACATGTATTAGGGATGCACCGATATAATTTTTGCAAGTACAAGTACTGATACTTGCCCAAGTCCTCACAGATACAAGTACTGATACATTTTTGTTTATTGTCATGTGACAGTTTTTCTAAAACAATACAGACTAATGATTTCAGGAAAGTGGTGGAGAGCCAGAGCCAGGTCCCAGCTCCAACCTCTGCAACCCTGGTAGTTCTCATGAAAATGCCAAGTATCGGCACTGGTATCTGCACTTGTATCTCAACTGGTATCTGCACATCCCTATTCAGAACATCCGATAATGCCATCAGAAACGTGACGAATGTTGTTCAAAACTTCAATTGCTTTTAAAATTTGAGTTTGGAATTAATGGAGTTTCCTAAATGAAAACCACATTCACTGTTAGAAAATCGTTTGTAAAAGAACACTTTGTCATCCTGATGCTTAGATCTCTACTCTCAAACATGATTGCCACTTTGACCGGATTGCATTTTTTAAAAACAAAATTCTACTGGTGTATGGCGAGCTCAAAGCGGGCAACCCCTACCCCTGAAAACCTCTCCCTGCATCAACACCCCCATCCTATCTGCCCTTTATTCCGAAAATCAAAATGTAATACTGACTTGTGTAGAATGAATGCAAAAAGAGACCCTGTCACCAACCATTCATTGCAACAATAATACCACATAATACTTGACACACCTTGACAGTTAGCATCATCGTTGTGCGCACTGGATGTGCCTGGGAACCCCCTAATCACCGAGAGCGCAAAACAAAAAACGCAACAGTGGGCGCCGTGTTTTTATTCACTGAGCCGATGGGGAGATCACAAAGATCTCAACAGCACTTGCCACTTACATTCCTCACATAACAGCCTCATTCGTCAATGCCTGGGAAGCTGCGAGGGTGTGTGGCTGTGGCTTCCCATCCAATCAGGAAGCCAGGCAGGTGGTCAATTGAGCAGCTGTCAGGCTTCCCGCTTCATTACCGCACCCCTGCTGGTAAGATCAGAGGTAGGAAGAGGTAAAGGACAGTTGAAGAGATGGGAATCCGGGATTCCTCAGGTCTGTATATGTATGTACGTATGATTGATATTTATATATATATAGCTATATATATATATAGATAGATATATATATCTATCTATATATATAGATATATATACACACACACACACACACACACACACATACTCGTGCGTGTTTGTACTTTTGTGTGCACACCCATGGGAGACATTAAAGTTCCTCTTTAAGCTGGTGGCAGGGTCTCTTTAATAAAGTAAATATTTACAAATATTTATTTCCTATGCTCCTCAGTTCCATCTGGTGGCCATAATGCCATATTACAACACACTACATTCGAACTGGGAAAAAGATATATAAAGAACATTCGGAATGTCTCTAACCCTTCTCCACAAAAGTTCAACCTAAAATAAATTGAAAAAAAGCAGGGGCCTTATCAATGAACACACACACACACACACTGTATTTAGTAATTTAGGATAGACATCTGGAATGTGCGTGTAGAAAATACCTTACCATCATAATTCTGAGAGAGGCTGTGACACGTCTGACTTGCAGGCTGCTCATGAACAGTTTTTGGTGGAGAATTTGGCACTAAGGGGTTGGAGTAATGCCAGTGACACTCTCCCCCTGTTTGTATCGCACCAAAGAAAAATCTTGCCACCTCACATGGCGATCCTTGGCTCTGTCCAAACCTAGAAGGCATCACTTGCACTTGTTTTTTGCCACCTAACACATGGGAGTCCATTGGAAAATGTCCATAGTGGTAAGGGAATGGTAGGCTGTAGGGGGCGGGGTACAAAAGTTCACTGTTTTCCGTGTGGTTGCTTGGTTCTTGGTTATTGGTGGCATTTATTGTGGGAGCTCCTTTCCAGTTTCCAAACTGTGCAAATTCCATCTTATCTTGGTAGGAAGTGTGTGGCTGGAAGAAAGACAATGTATGTATTAATGCAAATGTCTGTCTTCTGAGATCTAAAGACCGAAAGGCACATTTTTGTGTTATTGGGTGGGGTGTTTTTGGGTTGAGACGCCCATTAATTTCTAATAATAATATTATTACTAAACACAGATAAATGCTGTTCATTAAATTGTATTCATTATAAAACATTAACAGGGTTATTCACAAAAGGGTGAAGAGTTTGGAGACGGCAGGAGAAGTGAACAATCTAGGACAACATAGCTGAACCCGAAAGTGAGCTGAAATTGAGAATGTTTCCAGTTCAGTTATGTTGTCCTAGATTGTTCACTTCTCCTGCCTTCTCCAAACTCTTCACCCTTTTGTGAATAACCCTGTAAATGTCACTAGTGTAAGGACCTTCATGAACTTGGTATCATTCTCCTGTAATCTTCTGTGCAGTAACATTTAGGCCCCATTCACAACAGGGCAGCATCAGTTCAGCGCGGTTTACGTGTGATTTTTTAAATCGCATTTCAGCTCTGAAACGCAATTTCATTGAAATCTATATGGAAAATAGTGACAAAAGTAGCCCAGGGAAGCATTATGAGCAGCAGGCTTTTCGGATCGCGCGGATCCATGCGCTTGCATGAATGGATCCCATAGGAATGTATGGGATTGTTCATGTAGGCGGTTCAGCGCAGAAATATCTGAGGGGTCTTAGACTGGGAGAGGAAGAGGCCAGCACTTTCCCATTCTAAAAACAAAACGTTTTGGCTCAACACATAAGCAAATGACAACATTGTGGGTAAGTATATGTTACACACTTAAGCAAATGTATGTAGAACATGTAGCCAAGTGGTCCCTTACGCTTGGTATACACTGTAGCTTTCAGGCTGAATGGAAAAAAATGAACAGATTCCTCCACCCATGCTAAACAACGTGGATTGAGAATTCTCCCGCTCTGGCTATTGTATTTTGACAGTCAGCCCCGTTGGCTGTCAGACCAAATACCCAGGGCCAGATTTACTCTCAGCTGCCCCAAGGCCAGGTTCCTCAGTGCCCCTCCCTCCCCCCTTCCGACTTCGCCGAGATCACTTTAACAAAAAAGCGGCTTCCCCGCTGTACACTTAGCTCTGCTTGCCCGAAGCAGGGCTAAATGTAGAAAACAACTACCCGGAACTGCATGTTCCGGGCATCACGAGATAGGAATTCCACACCCCTGCTGCCCCTCTACTCTCTGCTGCCCCAAGGCCGGGCCTTGGTCGGCCTTGTGGGAAATCCGGCCCTGCAAATACCTGAACATGCACCTGACTGAATGCAGGAGCTGTTCTGTTCCTTACATTGGCAGACAGGACCCCCTACTGAGTGAATTTCAGCTGGTTCATCAAGAACCAGCCAAAATTCGCCCTGTGTACAGCCAGCTTAGGTAAATAATGATAGGAAATCACTCAGAAAAATACAGATATTTAACGGTAAAAGTGTGAGTCAAGCCTAATGCTGTAAGTAGATGTATAAGAAGTTATGAAATTCAAACGCAAAGTCATCTAAACGTTGAATATTCTTTAAACGGTTCTAAACTTTCAGTATCTTGTGACAAGAAAATAATACACCAATAAAATGCCTCATATCTCATTATATACAAGCAAATTATGTTCTACGCTCTATAAAACTCGTCGGATTGAATGTCTCTGGGACTTTTTCCGTATTGCTAATTTATGGTGGGCTGTAAGGTTAGCAGCCAGTGACCAGGAAATGCTGCCTGTAATTCTGCTCATAGAGCAACTCATACTAACTGGGCTTGTAATTCAATCTGTCTCTGAGCGCAGCGAATACAAGCAGTTTCTAAATATAGTCTGACAGCTAAGAAACCCCAAAGTATCCTAAAAATTCCAAACTATAACCAAAAATAGAGGGAGCCCGTGTAAAATAAATGGGAGTTCCAAGCAAAGAACAGAATATAGTAATAAATGCTTTTGTGCACAATAACTTTAGTTAAAGTGACCCGAGCAAATCATCTAGCTCTTCCATAGCATGATATGGCCATGTAGCTGTTGTAAGCTCTTTATGGCTCCGTCTCTCATAGTACAGCTCTCCAGCAATCCCTAGATAGCAGCTGTGAAACTCTGTGTACAAATCAAACTTATCTTCAACAGTTGGATATGCAGAGCTGCTGAGTGTGAATACAATGACATCATCCTTCATTTCCTGATTGGCTGGAATTATTATTTTTTTGGGCTATGTTATGACACTGAGCTGTTAGCCAATACAAAAAAACAATGCAAGTATTCAGATCTTGATTTATGACATTGCCCTGACTTCATTGGCTGCAAGGTTTTTACATTTCAGTGGAATTGACGTCACAGACTCATTTTAGAGTCCCGCCCTAGATGGCACTCTTTTACTCCATGGTGACAGCAGAGCAGTGGAGGGTTTGGTTGGTTGTGTGGTTCCAACACTAAACTCATCATGTGTGAGGAGCAACAATCTTTGCTTCTCAGGGGTGGTGAACTCAAAGTATGGTAGGAGTGCAGGGGATTGGTTTAAGCCTATGAAAGCATACAATACCAAAGTCAACTTTTCTATATATTAACTATTAGGGATGCACCGATACCAAGTACCGTACTCGGTTCAGTACAAGTTCAGATACTTTTCCAGCTCCGGGACTAGACTAGAGAAAAATTCAATAGTTAGGAGGCCGCTGTCAATGATCGCTCCGGTGTTTGTCCGTCTCACGCGGAGGACCGGTAAATATCAATGATATCCACCCATCCCCCGCTCTGCCACGCACAGAGCCGCTGTCATCCTGAAACTGACAATTGGTATCGGTGTATCACTATTAACTATAATTAAAACTGAGCTCTAGGTGAGCAGCTGAATACACAGTTAAATACATACTGTATAGGGCAACTGTTTTATCTACTAAAAGATTTTTATTTCTGAGTTTTTATCCAGACACCACCGGTTCACCAGCAGCACAGGCTGGTCAAGGTCATCCCCCCCAACCAATGAAGGAGAAGCAGTAGACTACAGACCCCATCCCCTGCTCACTTTACACTTGCTGTACAGAAGATTAACAGAGGCTGACACCAAGTTAAATAAGGATGCTTACATTAGTTGCATTTAAAATAAATCTGATTTTTTAAATATAAATACATGATTGCATTAGTTAGTTTTTTCCTATTTTGGAGTACAACTCATGTAAGATGTTTAAGGCGTAAAACTTCTGTTTGCAACAAACCTGCCAGCAAAACCAACAAATTGTTCTGTAGCGGATCATTCATGCCAAATTACCCAATTTAATGGCTACTGAACCATCCAGCTTGTACTTCCCCCCCAGTACTTCAGTAAAGTCCATTATTGTCCTCTTTACCTGTGGGTAGGGGTTTGATCTTGGCTGTTTTGCTTTGACTTTTGCAGCTTTCAACTTGGCTGGTTTCCTTGCTTCCTGCGAGGTAGTGACTGAATTCCGGCATTGAAAAGGAGCTTTGGAAACAGTCATTTGCTCCAGAGAGAGCTGCAGTTCCTTGTACTCTATATCTCTGTGGATGAGAAAAAAGTTTACCAAACGTCATCAAAAAACACCATCGCTTTCACACAACAGTGGAACCAAAATCCACATGCCCTTCCCTCTTCTTCCACCCATGCATTTGGAAGTTCACTAGCCAGCCCTTGATGATCCAGGAAAGCTTTGGCCTTGAAGGGGGACCATTTGATGTTCCCGAAACATGTTAGCTTGTCTTTTTCTGGACTCACAGCCATTTGATGTGGCTTTCCTTCCTCTTCTTGATAACCTGTTGTCTACACCCAAGGTGGTCCCTTGGCCGCATAGAATCAATGTAGCCAGATACATCTCATTCTTCTGCAAAGCAATAACTATGGACCACCAATTTTCAGTATCCAGCACACAGGGCCGGATTTACTCTCTCTGCTGCCCTAAAGGCCAAGTTCCTCAATGCGCCCTCCTACCCGCCAAACCCCCCTCTCCCCCCTCCCATGGAGAATGGCAGACCTGCAGACTACATACAAGAGATCACTTGCACAAAACAAGCAGTGGCTTCCCTGCTCTTCCCTGCTGTTCACACCTAGGCGTATTGAATATGCGCGTTTGTCACGCATTTCATGCCGCACGTTTTTACAGCGATTCGCGGTTAAAAAAACGCGCGACAAACGCGCGTTTCCGAGGGCTACCTGGCTGTATCCCAATGGATACGTGCGGCAAATACGCCCCAAAAAAGCTCCTGTACTTCTTTGGGCGTAGGGTGTTTTGTAGCGCGTTCATATGGCCTGTAATATGCCCAGGTGTGCACCATACCCATAGGAAATAATGGGATTTTGGTGTTTGAGCGTTTTGCAGAGCGTAGGAACGCGCTACAAAACGCCCAGGTGTGAACGGGGCCTTAATGTAGAAAACAACTACCCGCCTGGCGCCTGGAACTGCTTGTCCCGGGCGTCGGGAGATAGGAATTCCACACCCCTGCTGCCCCTCTACTCCCTGCTGCCCCAAGGCCGGGCCTTTGTTGGCCTTGTGGGAAATCCGGCCCTGCCAGCACGTCTCACCACATTCTTATAATTTGACTGTCACATTGCATTGCTTTTTTTCCTTATTTTGCAGTCAGACTAAATCTTATGTTCTTTGGGTCTGTTAACCAGCAAAATATATTAAATTGAAAGTCAGACATGACAAACTTATGAACTGTGGATTTTTACCTTTATTTCCCTGCTGGTATTTGTGTGGTTGGCTTAACTTTTGGTAGCTTCAGTGCTTGCAGCCAGTTAGTATGTTTTAAATTAAGCTTTTAGACCCTGGTGTAAGTGTAGTCATTTCCAGGTGAGTCATCTGATTGCTCCATTTCTATAACATTGTAATTGTCTGTGATTTCCTAATTATGGATTGATTGCACTGTATATTTGATACACCACAGTGCTCTCGAGTATGTGTTTAGTTTTTTGTTTTATTTTTGTTACGTTGCTTTTAGAGAGCTCCTCTAAGGACAATCTGTATTGAAAATGGACAGCAGACCATTACACCAAATGCTAATTCTGATGAGGGACTATGCAGATGAGCCTATAGTGCATACAAAGCCAAACTTTGTTTAGCTTTTTATAGAAAAGGGAATGTTCAATACCGCTGCAGTCTCTATCCAAAATAAGCAATAATGGTCTTTAGATACATTTTCAAATCTAGATTCTGCAAGAAATCTTTAAACATATTATAATGCCACAGGCTGTGTTGGAGAAACAGGTTTGTTAAATAAATGGCGAAGGATCTGCAACATTCAATCCCTTGTTCCACCACTGCCTCACCCCATCATATAATCAGTAATATCATGATATTACATTTCACATATCTCAGTATTAATTATACATGTGCATTCGGATTCAGACGAACCTGCAAATCAATTAAATTCAGTTGATTCAGCGATTCTTCCAAATCCGAAATCACAAATTTATTATATGTCCGAATATAGGAAAACTATATTCGGGCATAAATAAATTAATTTGCGGAACGCACGGTGGCCATATTGGCTGTTGCCGGGTTCTGCACATGCATGCCACCATCTTGGAGTTGGAGTGCATGACGCCACATGACACTACCAGGATATACACCAAGATGGCGTCGCCCAAACATGCGTATGACGTCACCGGACGCCACAGACGAGCAGCGCCATGTGACATCATACACTCCGCCTCCAATATGGTCAACACGCGTTCTGCAGTTTTAATGTGTAGTTTCCGATCCGGAGGCTCGTTGCCTCCTAATCCAAAGCAGCATAAAAATGTGTTTCATTTGACAAAACGAATGAAAATGTTTTTAGTTTTCATTTGTTCCGTCCGAAACACATTTTTATTCCTTGCACATGTCTAGTATTAATAGGGGAGGCAGAAAGAAGTCTGACATGTTTCATGAACAAGTTTACTTCCTCAGGGATGAAGTGGACGTTTCTGGCATATAATCATAAACCATTAACATTAATAATATATCTGTAATGTGTGTTCATCATTTATACATAATAAGCTCCTGACTTACATCAATGTCCTCATCAGATTTCCTAATCAAATCAAATCAATATACCTTTGTGTGCAGCCATACCACCCCCTATTTTTTACATGCCATAGATACCATAGATGTCCACCTCATCCCTGAGAAAGTGGAATTTACCTCGAATGTCTACCTTGTCCCTGAGGAAGCGAACTTTACCATAGATGTCTACCTCATCCCTGGAGAAGTGAACTTTACTATAGATGTCCACCTCATCCCTAAGGAAATACATTTTACCATAGAAGTCTACCTCATCCCTGAGAAAGTGAACTTCACAACGGATGTCCACCTCATCCCTGAGGATGTGAACATTGCCATAGATGTCCTCCTCATCCCTGAGAAAGTGAAATTTACCACGGATGTCCACCTTGAACCCGAGGAAATGAACTTTATCATAGATGTCCACTTTGTTTCTGAGGAAGCAAACTTTACCATAGATGTCCACCTCATCCCTGAGGGAGTGAATATTACCATAGATATCCACTTCATCCCTGAAGAATTGAACTTGTACATATAACATGTCAGACCCTTTTCTGTACCCTGTTTCTGAGGAAGCAAACTTTACCATAGATGTCCACCTTATCCCTGAGGGAGTGAATATTACCATAGATATCCACTTCATCCCTGAAGAATTGAACTTGTACATATAACATGTCAGACCCTTTTCTGTACCCTCCCCTATTAATACTGAGATATGTGGAATGTAATATAATATAATAAAAATGTGAAAAGTCTCACATATTTAGTATAAACGGATGCCTGAATGCACTATTATCCAGAGCTACTTTCCACTTGTACAGACCACCAAACAAGTAATGGTTATGTGTTTCCTAAACCATAAAAAACCTCCTGACTACCCTCAGCATCCCCTGTAACCCTTCCCCCATAAGTCTCTTGCTGAATTTATTCACACATGGATAGACGTGGGAAACAAAAGGAAAATGTACATTTGGTGGCATGGTGTCTTGCTGCCCTATGCACCCGTCCCACAAGTGGAGTAAATACAGCACTGGGTATAGGTATAGTGACGTATGTTAAGGCACTCACGTAAGGACATAGTTGACGCTCACAATGCAGTGAGGTCTGGAAGATCGGCTATTGTGGACAATAGTGGCGTAGCTCTGCACCCACACCCATCCTCCATGCTTGGAGAGCAGCCTGTAGTACTTTGTGGTGACCTGGCCTTTCACTAGCACTGCAAAAAAAGAAGAAAAAAAAAAAGAATGAAATTCAAACATCCTCACTAAGGTAAAGCAGCACAAGTGAAGAAATATGTCAATATGTGTTAATAGAGATCATTTGCAGGCATATTGGAAGACTGAAATGATAGGAACAATAACAAAGTTGGGTGGGCCTTAAAGTGGAACACTCAGGAGCCTATGGGAGACATTGTGCTGTTATGGCACAAATGCAGTTAACACCTTCCTTCCTTTTCCCATGGAAATGATCTGTGCTGTTACACTGAGACTTTCAGAGAAACTGTGGCGACATTTATCAGTTCTGTTGCATAGCAAGGCAAAGCTAAAAAGGAGCAGTGAAATAGATTGTACAACATATTTATTATTAGGTTACAGCTTAAGTAGCCGCTAAAGTAGTACTGCATATAAAGGATGAGAGCGTTACAAGTATATACTTCTTCCAGTAAAAGTTTATTGATCAACACATTTCGGGGGCTCACAACTCCCTCTTCATTAAGTGCTAGTAATGATGGGGTATACTGAACAGCAATTGTATAAAATGAGGATTATAGTAATAGCTGGTAGCCAGCCTATCAGCCACACCAGAACCCTCAGAGACACCCTGAATGATAGACAGCTGTCTCTAAGAACTGGTTATTGAGCAATTGTTTACCTCTTATTGGGTTAAGCACACCCCTAAAGTAGTACTGCAACAGAATGACACCTGACCCTGATCTCTTCTTCATTGTGCATATGTTCAGAATGGAATTCTGTCTTATCTGCAATAATTAATCTGTTGCAGACCTGTATAAATCTATCGCAGTTGGACGCCCAGGATACCCAGCATTACAAGTGCAGGAATTCCAAATACACAAAATACAGTTGCACAGACCTTGCTACATGACTGGCAACCTGATTTGCAGCTAATAGAGTCACTAATTTGTTGATAAATGTCCCCCTGTGTGCAATATAGCTTTCAGTTGCCGGATGCATTTGTTATCAGACTTTTGAAAAGCCCTATACTGGCCCATTTTTTACCAAACCGTTAGATCCGGGTAGATTTGGGTTACATATGGCCCTTCATCTACCTAAGGTATACACAGACAAAGATGACAGTCACCTGAATTAGTAACATTTCCCCATCCATGAGTCTCTCACAAAAGATAGCTGACTTTTGTGGGTCTTTTTTTTTTGTCCTGTTAGTGAGATTTCACTCTAATTCCTGTTCTGGACACAAAAGAGGAAGTGAGGTTAAATCTCTCCAGAACAGGTGCCCCAATGGAAAGACCTCTCCTCTCCCCCTGATTTAGTGACAACCATAAACATTTATTCTAGAATTTGGTTGTGGAGTGCTGAATTCCACGCTCGGTGGAAGTTCTGAATGAATCAGATGATTAATCTGGATTTGTAGCTGTGTATTTCCTGATGAAGCCCCAACGAGGTTCCTGGAAGCGTCAGCTTGTGCAGAGTGATGGTTGAGAGCACCAAGATGTTAAGATTAATCCAGATATACATTTTACTAGGTGAGCTTTAAACTACAGTTTAAGAAAAATTATAATCCAGAACTAACCACCCTTCCAGATTCCTTTTGCGCAATAAATCCAAGCCCTGATAAAGAGAAATGTGTGCATGACCCCCAAAATGAGTTGGCCCTTTCTGTTGTGATAAATAGAAACTTTGTGGTGGTCTTATCTTGGCGTTCTCATTATTTTGCACTTTTACAACCATTAAAGTTTGAATTTCTCTTAATTTTCTAACCTGCTGACAGGTCAAATAAAGTGGGTGGCTCTATCCAGCAGAACCACAAACCCCAATAAACCCCAAATACGGACTAGATATGCAAAGTGGAAAGCACCAGAACTACTATGTGTATAGTTGTATCAGAAAGATCCAATGTGTTTAGAGGGTTCAAAGATTTCCCCTTCACCATTGCAGTCCTGTTGTCAATTTTATAACAGCGCTCGGAAGAGTAGCTGCTGTACTGGGGTCCTGCGGTACCTGGGGTTCAAGTGGTTAAAGACGCATGTACTGGATTGGTATAATTAAAGGGTATGAGCGTGGTTGCTTCAGATGCTGGTTAGGCATGCCATGTAGATGACTAACCAGCTTCTGGAGCAATTATACTCATGCGCTTCAGGATCCCTCCTATTATACCAGTCCATTACACACTTTCCTAAACACTACCAAGCTCTGATGAAGGGGCTTTGAACCCCCAGAATGCAATGAACTTTACACATTCTAGTTCTGGCATTTTCTTCTTTGCACAGCCTAGTTCTTACTTGAGTTAAGAGCCATAATTGGGGCAACACTCCTGGAAAAGCCATCAAAGGGCAACTATTTCCTCCTCAGTATTCAAGACATGACTGAGAATACTCACTGTAATACAAAATCCAAACCCAAAGGCTTGATATCATATGCACTTTAAAGAATAGACTGTAATCTAAATTGATACATACAAAGGTGGTGTGCATAGCGAAGATGAAACACATCACAGCCATGTACATGGTGGTACAGTGTTTTCTCTATGAGATCTTGAGGCTCATAACCAGTTAAATCAGCTACTCTGCAAAGAAAAGAAAAAGACAAATGACATATAATATTTGTACATATCCTACCAATATAACTTTATTGATCCAAACTCGGCCACATATGGACTTTTTGGATGTAGAGTGCACATCCTGGAATGGACTTGCATAAGAAAACATATCTTTAATTTTTCACAATGAGGAGGGGATGAAAGCCAAGCACTGATTGCATCCATTGAAAGAGGCATATTCAGGCAATTATTACTGATACTAAAATAAATAAGAACATCTCTGCCAGCTGGATCTATGCAAGAATTATCAGTTTCTAGGCACAGGAATCACCAGAATGTAGATTATTTTGGCCATGTGGACATAAACAATATATAAAATAAAATAATGAAAACAGTATTGTAAAACTCCAAGCCAGAACTGCTTTGAAGGGGAACAAAATCAACATCCTAATTGCTTGCATTGTTTTATAATAAGGATTCTCATTATATGGAGAGGAAAGTAAATGAAGCTTTAAATAAAAATCTTCTCTAGATATACTGTAAAAGGGATTGCAATTGTGCTACAGTCAGATCGTTTGCTACACTGGCCACTAATCTGAGATCTATATAATGCCTTGAAACAGACTTAATTGGCTTTTCATAGTAAAGGTGGGGGGAGACACAGCCTCCGGTCACATTGTTTTATTGTATACTGCCATGGGGAAGTCCATGGATGATTTTAGATTTGAACTCCACGAAAACCAACTATGGTCTAAATACAAGAGGCATGTCTATTCTTATTTAAATCTCGGAGTGCTTTGTATATTTCTTCAGTTCAGGAGCTTCCTGTAATAAAAACCAGTCACTGCTGCTCTCTCCTTGTGCAGGGTGGCTGGTCTTGTATCCTCCCCCTCCTGTAGTTTTCTGCAGGCAGCATGTAGTGGATGGAGCCCGTTGAGTCCCTCCAACAGCTCTGCTCTCAGCACAGGCTATGTACAGCACAGTGATGATGTTACTTTTGCATGGTAATAATGCAAAAGCATTTGGTGCACATATAGTGGATTATATCCTTTTTGGCTATTGAGGAATATAGTTACATGAAAATGTTTGAGCCTGGAGTTCAGCTTTAAATACAGAATGCTTTGGTGTTACTCTGTGGCTTTAATTTGGAACTCAATTTCAAGACAATTCATCAAAAAACATGTATCATTTGGCATTTTTTTCAAATGTTAAAGGGTTGGTCCCCAAAAAAATTTTTTTCATTTTTAGATTGAGCATATTGGCCTGAGTCAGTACCTAGCTTCTCATATTCCTTGGATACTCCAACACTGAGATACATAAATGCCCCCTGTTTCTGTCCACCTGGGGGACTTGGTTGGTCCCATGTCTTTCCCTAACATTCTCCATAAGGTAGAATAAGTACAAATTCAAAGAGGGATGTTGGGAACGCATTTATATTGCAATGGCAGGTGTGCAGACCCAGAACTTAGTGCAGAAAGTTCTCTTGGGTCCCAAGCCCTACTCTTTAGAAGTCATAATTTCCATATACTGCACTGCCCAAACCCTACTCCATCGTAGCCATGGATTCCATACACTACACTGCCCAAGCCCTACTTCATAGAAGCCATGGTTTTTCATATACTGCACTGGCCAAGCCCTACTCCATAGAAGCCATGGTTTCCATACACTACACTGAGCAAGCCCTACCCCATAGCAGCCATGGTTTCCATATACTGCACTGGCAAAGCCCTACTCCATAGAAGCCATGGTTTCCATACACTACACTGCCCAAGCCCTACTCCATAGAAACCATGGTTACATACACTGCACTATACAAGCCCTACTCCATAGAAACCATGGTTTCCATACACTACACTGCCCAAGCCCTACTCCATAGAAACCATGGTTTCCATACACTACACTGCCCAAGCCCTACTCCATAGAAGCCATGGTTTCCATAGACTACACTGCCCAAGCCCTACTTCATAGAATCCATGGTTTCCATATACTGCACTGGCCAAGCCCTACTCCATAGAGGGCATGGTTTCCATACACTGTACTGATGATGGACAAATAGCTTGAAATATCTGTATGCAGTTTGGACTAAATGTCTCTATAATATGAGGCTATATTTGTAGTCAGAGCCCCACTGATACGTAACTGAGAACAGAGATAACGACCCTGCCTAACTTGACCTGTGATGTGCCGTGGTCACGTCACTATGTTCAGTATGCGAAATAAGGGGGCATACTCAAGAATAAATGTTGCTAGAAGGGGTAAGGGCGGATGGGGTGAGACAGATGATCGACGAGTGAGAATGGGAACGGGGAGGTTTAAATGTGTTCTGGGTTCTGGATGTGCATTTGATTGATGGAGCATAAAGGTATGATTTGCATGGCTCTGCCCAGTGTCCTGGAATGTGGAGAAATCCTCCTGTTTTTGGGATGCGTGATGGAATGAAACTTGTGAATACCTTCTGTTGTGAAAATGCTTTACTGAGCTATGCACTGACTAGAGTTAGGGATTTTTTGAATGCTTTATTCCCTTCTCACCATAACCTGTATGATTATATTCTCTACCAAAAGTTGAAATGTCAGTTTTAGGTGGGCCGACCCTTTAAGATCACCTCCCTGAAAAAATTTGCACACAGCTGACACAAAAATTGTCCTTTGCCAGCACTTATATAACCATGCAATAATGACGGGTCAACATTCAAAAGAATGCAGCCAATCCAATCTTGGGCAGATTGAACTCAGTCTCCAGCTTAGGAAACAATTGTTCACATCCTGCAAATTTTAGAAAGATAAACACTCATGCCAAAATTATTATCTAAGGTTACTAAAGTAAAGTACTGATTGCTAGGCATTCCAGCCTTAGTAAACAAACATCTTACCTGGAGTCCAGGAAAATGAGTTTGAGGTCCAGACTCGCTCTGAACATAAACATGTTGCTGTGGAGTTTGATCTCTGTGATGGCGCTCGGCGGTAAAGACTGACCCACAGCCACTAGCCCTACAATTTGATAGCAGGAGTCATATAAAGATATGTCCAGCATATACTGCCTTATTTTCAGATACCCACTGCAGTGAATGACCTGTCGTATAAAGATAAAACATATCACATATACACTATTCAAACCAAACAGGACACAGGCACTTAATACCAAGGTCTGGGCTCTTCGAACCAGGGCTCGTGTGTAAGCACTGGATGAAAGGTAAGCGTTCCTGCTGCCCATACCACCCAGTCAGGTACTAAAAATGTTCATTCTAGCTAATTGAATCTGTTATCGCAATTATCATACCCGAAAGATTAATCTGTCAAACCTGAAAAAATGTATCGATCACATCAGAAAAATAATTGTCATTTACCAACATTTACCCTAATCCATCTGCTGGGACTTAACTAAATAAAGCATACCTTATGTACTATTATCATTAGTGTACATTATATGTAAATTTTTGAATTCGTAAAAAAACATGTTTAAGTCATGTTATACTATTGATATGTTGTCTGGTTTGTAAAGATTAATCCATAAAAATGATCTAATGCATTTTTGATCCTTCAAGCACATCTAAACTCCTGACAGTTACACACCCCCTGTCCTAGGGTGACCACACTCGCTCACTGCACTGTATCTATGGAGAAGCAGCGTTGTCACCCTAGGAGGCTTTTCCGATTTGGACCATAAACACCTCCCCATCTCCTTATCGCCATAAAATAGGGTGTTCTGCAGTTCACAGAAGATACCTGGAGAGGCTGATAAGATTGATTGATATTTCAGCTCAGTGCACAGAACACTGGATTTTATTAGGATCAACAGGTATTGTTCTGTACTTGAAGATGTACTTAGCCCAATATTTTGTTCATGTCAAAACTGCCTCTCTCTTCCTGTACCAGTCAATTGGAATATGAAAGCAGCTTAAAAGCAGGTTCATGCAGTCTAGGAGTACAAATGCAAGGCAGAAGAAGGTCAACTGCAGTACAGAAAGAGGTCAGCTGCAGATAAGGAGGTGAACTGTAAGTGAGAAGGAGGTTAACTGCAGGTCAAAAAGAGGTCAGCAGCAGACCTGATGGTCAACTTCAGGAAAGAAGGAAGTCAACTGCAGGTCAGAAAGAGGTCAACTGCAGATCTGGAGGTTAACTTCAGAATTGCAAGTCAGCTTCAAGTCAGAAGGAGGTCAACTGTAGGTTAGATAAAGGTCAACTGTGGGTCAAATGAGGTCAGCAGATCTGGTAGTCAACTGCAGGACAAGAGGTCAACGTCTGACGAGAAGGAGGTCAACTGCAGGGCAGAAGGAGGTCAACTGCAGGTCAATCACTAATTAGTTTATACTTCACAATGTCTCCACAATGATCATTATATCACTTACCTTATAGCCACTACACGTCAGACCTGCGTTCCGTTTGGCCAACACACATTTCATCCGTAGAAAGAATGACCTCTCTATTTCACATTCTGAAAAAGATGTATGCAAATAGAAGATATGTTTTTTGTTGCTTTTTCATATATTTTCAAATCAATTTAATTTTGTAACTGTTTTTTATCACATCATCATTCAATCCAATTCCTTTGAGCCCAATTTATCCTGGACCCATCCCCAGCCTTTGGCTGGACAGTGAAAGCAGTGCAGTGATTATCTCATCTCTCTGTAACTCTGATTCTTCCTTCTATCTATCTATCTTGATGTTACATTTGTGATTTCTAATGATGCTTGAGAAGCAAGAGAGGGGGCGATAGAATACTTGCCCTCAAAAATAGGGAAACATTATGGAATAACCAACTGTCCTCACTCCGTCTGAATGGTATAAACACGGATTACAATTTGTACCCATACCGCTGAACAAGATGTGTTATGTAATTTTTGTGCTACATGTTGTGCTCTTTCGATTTGTGTTACAATGAGGGTAATTCACAAAGCTGCCGAAGGATCCAGCCGTAGCTTTGGCTGATCCTTCGGTTGCGGGAGCCCTTCGGTTCAGTCGAACCAAAGGGCTGCTGTTCGGGCTATTCACTATAGCCCGTACAGCAGCCGAAGGCAGCCGATCGGCTCAGCCCAGCCAAAGGCATTTGCCTCGGCCCCG